GGGGGGTGGTGGCCATGGGAGCGTCCCACCCCAACTGAGCCTGCGCTGGCTCCTGTGTCGTGCTCAGGCCCTGAGGGAGGAAGGGGCACAGGCCCGTTCCCGTGACCGGCTCCCTGGCGGGGAAACACCTTCGCAGTCTGCAGGACGCTGTGCAGGTTCAGCTGAAATGTCAGCAGAACACACAGTCTATTGGTCGCCGTCTTGCGTGACAATTTCAGCCAGAGTGAGAAATTAGGAAGTTAAAAAAAAAATTTTTTTTTCTCTCCCCACCACCACCTCTCTTGGACTCCCTCTTTTTCTCAAGTTGTCTTTGCCTATGTAGAAAATAACAGGAAAAAATTTAAAAAAGAAAGGGGAAAAAAAAAAATCAAGCAAACAAATAGCTACTAGGACCTAAGAACACAACAGATAACCTAAACCCCTGACAAAATAAGTTAATATTCATCAAAATAGTTTAAAGCACCAATCTACACAAATGTAAATACCTTTCTTTGGAAATCTACCCTTTGGGCCCTTACGATACTCCCCCCGAAAGGCTCGCAGATGAGACTTAGGAGGAAGATTCTGCAAAGTGACGGGGCCTGGCCTGAAGGCCGAACCCCCGGCCGCCCACCCGGCCTCCGCCGGCTGTGACACCAACGCTTGCATTTCTCTCCGAGGACCTTCCGGGGCAGAAGGGGGAAAGTCAAGTGCTGTTAATTTATCAGGCTTCTTTCTACCAGATCTGTGTCAAAGGCCGGACTGGAAACAAATGGGCAACTAAGTCTGGAAGCAGCATTTACGTTTCCCGTGGCGCCCACGCTGCCAACCTCCCCTCCCCTCCCTTCCCAGCCGGGGCCTCGTGTCTCCCGAGCTGCTGAGCTGCGCTAGGAGGGAAGAAAGGCCCATCAGCGCTCTTGCTGCCTGCGCCCGCAGCCGGGGAGGAGTGTGTGGGGTGGTGTTTGCCCGGCCCTGCCCCGCCCGGGCTAGAGGGGAGGCCCAGGGCTCTCTGCGCAAGGAGCTGCAGGCTGGAGTCGCCCCCGCACCGAGCGCTCCGACTCAGGGAGGCAGGAGGCCCAGGGCAGGGCCAGAGTCCCTCTGCGGACGCAACGCCGCAGTGTTCGGATGACGGAGACAAAAGAGGGACAGCTCTGGGACCAAAACTTGGGACGGACCACACATCCCAAGCGATGGGCCGATAGCGTGGGCTAAGTATCTGGCCGTTTTCCAAGTTCATGTCAAGCCCCAGCTCAGTGTGGCGGAGTGGCTCACTATCTCATCAACTATGGACTGGCTTCGGCTTCATCGCATGTAAGACAGAGGCCAGCAGCATCGTGACACAGACGTGCCAGGACCCTGGACCGAGCTGTCCCCTGCCTTGAGACCCTCACAGGAGCCCAGAGCAAGCGCGGGAGGGCAAGATTCAGCCAATGGCAAAGACCCACAGAAAACAGCTCTAAACCCCGCCAATCTGAGGCCGGCCCTACACAGACAGTCTCAGGTTCCAGTTATGGGGGCGCAGGCAGCAGGGGAAGCAACTAGGCCTGGCCCAGGCCTGGCGGGCGGGGGCGGCAGGACCCCGGGTTTACCCACCTCCGTGAGTGAAGCCTGCCCGCCCCTGCCCTGAGGCCTTCATCCCCACCGGGAGCCACTCAGTGTCAGGGCGAAACCATGCCCAGCAGGGCCGGTGGGGAGGGTCCCACCCTAACAGCCCCACCTGGAAGCAACTCAGGCAGGAGCGGGAGAAGGAAATGGTCCTGTTGTTCCTTTTTAAGTACACAGCTGTCCTTCGGCTCTGGGGGTGGGGCTGCTGGGGACACCGTTTTGTGGTACTGTCTCTCGTCTCTGGCTACCGTGGGACTGAAGGGGAGCTGGCTACTGGGAGTTTGGAGTATGCACATTTTCCATCCAAAGCAGTCCTCAGGGCGGGGGTGCCTGGCACCCGAGATAAGGAGATGACCTGTCTGTCCTGCCGAGCGAGGCAGCAGGTTGCTGAGCTGACGAGGAGAAGAGCTCGTTCAAAGAGAAGGGAGGAGACACGGTGGCCAGCCACAGCCAGGTGGCCCCGGCCAGAGGGCTGTCTGGAGGTGACCGGGGCCGCAGAGCCAGGTCTGGGCAGGACACTGAGCTGCGGGCTGTGGCTGCGCTTCAAGTAATCGCACCTGCGGCTGCGTTGGGGGCGTCGTGGGTGTGGGTGGTTCTTGTTACACTGGCGGGGAGGGCGGGGTGCCTCCCTGTCTCCTGGGGTGTCCCTCGGGGCTGCTGCCCCCTACAGGGGGCAGGGCTGCGCGTCACTTGCACTGGTCCAAATTGCCGTCAGGAGTCCTTGCTTGGTCGGCTGCCAGGGACGCCTCCTCGCTGTGCCACAGACCGTAGCCAAAGTAGATGCCAAAGCCTGCAGGTGACAGTGGGGAGACAGGTGTGAGCGGCGTGGGCCAGGCTGCCGCACAGTGGGCCAGGCCCGGGGGACAGACAGAGGCCGCCCCAGGCCTTATGGCCCCACAGAAAAGCCTCTTGCAAGGGCGTTAGCCCGCAGCCAGCGGCCCGCCCGGCTGACTTTCCACATCTGGAGAAACCACTCTTCAAATAGAGCCTGCAAAGGTCACTGTCTGCTTCCACATCTGGCAAAGCCTCGAGTCCCTCTGGACGGCCTCACGCCGAGGCATTTCCTTAGCAGACAGGGCGGCTGCGCTGGGGCCCACAGTAGGCACTGGGCCCTTCAGCCGAATTCCCGGATGACCTCTGAGGCCCTGAGAGTCCTGGGAAGTCACGCTGGCCCTACCTGGGGTGGGACTTCCTGCAGGTGCTAGAGGCCCCAGGCTGTCTGGACAGCCCCTGCCTGCTACCCCTGTGTTCTCTATGTAACTGGCCCTCTATGTAACTGGCCCTTAGAATGTAGGCAGTTACCCCTGATGGGAGAACCAGCTTGGGAAGAGCAATAAAATTGGAAACTATCTAAAAGGGATGGACCTGCCAGGAACTCAGTATTGTGTTTGAGAGAGAACTGCTGACTACGTGCTTCACCGTGTCACAAAATCTGACCCGAGGCAGACGCTACGACACTAATCGTCCAGCCAAGCTGGGACCTGCGGAGTCCGAGAGAAGCCAGGACCCTGGACATGCTGGTTGCGGCGTGACGTACCCACGAGCATCCATACCGCAAACCGCACCCAGGTGCCCCGGTCCAGCTGCATCATGAGATAGACGTTCACGAAGATGCTGAGGATGGGTAGCACGGGCAGGAAGGGCACCTGCAGAGACAGGAGGCAGCGTCAGACCTGCCGGTGTGGCAGGCTCGGTGATGGCGCCTGTTTGAATCCCTCAGCAAAACTCCCTAGCAAAGGACCGTGCACCTGAGAGCCATGGGGGCTGTCAGGAAGGGTGGGGAAGAGGAAGTGAGCGCCAACCTCCGCCCTGCACCCCAACACACATGGGCAGATCCCAACAGGTGGGAATTTGGTTCTAAGCCATGAAATGCCAAGGTGAGCGCCATCGTAATTCTCCTCTCATGTAGTTCTCTAGATGGGACTAGAAGGAGGACTTCCAATTCTTCTCTAAGGTCTGACTATTCCATTATTTGTATAATTGAAAATGCAGACGGCTCGGTCACCTCTGAGGCTTGGGAATGACATGCGACCTGCCTGGACAGACATTTAGGAGAAGCCACTGTGGACAGGTGCACCTGCCACCTGGGGCTGGACCTCTCTAGGCTGCACTGTCTGTGCCTTGGGGCTCCTGTCCGCATGGCCCCGAGGCTGGCTGGCACCAGGTGGGGCCGGGCCCACACAGGGCCAGCCGGCTGTGGCCTGCCCCGTGCTTGAATGCTCACCTTGAACGAGAGCTTGGTCTTGCTCTCAGGCTGCCTCCAGATGATGCCGGTGACCAAGGTGCAGAGGAGGACAGATCCTGTGAGCACCAAGATTGCCCACAGCTTCCCTTGAGTCAGAGCCTCCTTCCCGAGCACGGCCACGACGCAGAAGATGATGATAAGAGTGGCTAAAAGGGACAGGAGAGAGGGGTGCAACCCAACCGTCTCTCAAGTTCCCACAGTGTCCCTGGTCCCCTCACCCCCAGATCCTGTGACAGGGGAGGCTCCACTTCCAAAGGAATCAGCCGCAGTTGCAAGAGAACAACTACGCTGCAGTCCGGAGGCAAGATAGATGCACGAGTCCAGCGCCTTCCCGTCCCCACGCCTGCATGCCTCGGCCCGCACCATGCCAACAGGCAGGACCCCAGACTCCGCACAGGGAAGGGCAAGCTCTTACCTATGAGGCTGGTTGAAATGTTCACTATCAGCCCAGAGAGTTTGGAAGGCTCCATGTTTTTGGGTGAGAGTATGGCTTTCAAAGAAAACATCTCCGCTTCCGGCAGGAAGCCCGTCTGGGAGTCGTTGGTGCTGCCCAGTTCGCTCTGCTCTACCTGATCCAGCTCGTCGGACGTTCTGGCCATCTGGTACACCAGGTTAGGCTGCTCTGGCTGATACCTGCGGAGAAACGTGCCGCGTGACCACCGTACTCTCCTTTAAGCAGGGCGGGCATCAGCTCAAGTTCTTAATACGCCCTTATGGGTAAGCTGCCAGAACACGGGGCACAGAAGGGGAAGCAGGTGGCCAGAGTGGCGCCCCCTCTCCCAGTGCAGAGACGGGAGCAGAGACCCAGGTCTCCTGGTGACTCTGGTTTGGGAACATGACCTCCACAGTGGGGCAGCCCAGGGCCATGCCCCGGGAGGGCTTCTCCCACTCTGAGAAAGATATGAGGCCTTTTCCCGAAAAACGCAGGCTGCAGTGAGCTAAAAGGAAGGCCAGAAACAGAAGGCAGTAACACTCGATCCTGCGCGGCACGGACAGACAGGGAAACCTGCCCGCAGGCTGATGGATCTGAGAAAGGCTGTTTGTGACTTAATTGGATCAATTTATTTTAAAACTCCAAGTGCCTCAGAGTAAATAACTCTACACAGCCGGGTGAAGGACCGAGCCCGAGGTGCAACGGCCAAGACAGAGCTACCTGCACGTGAAGCCCCGTCTCCACAAGGCGCCTTATCTTCCCCCCAAAACAGGCAGAGTGCAAATCTTTTCCACCAGCTTTGAAACCAGAGTGCTCCGTGAATTATTTTGCGTATGATCGCTTCTAAGAGGGAGCGTGAAGGCATTTAACCATTTTTGCACTGATTCGCTTGTGCAACACCACTGGGTCCGCTAAGAAAGTGAGGGGCCCCAGAGTTTATTCTAACACTGAGCCCCCGGGGAGGAAACAAGGGGTCCACAAACTCGTTTTAGCTGATTCTGCACAGACACTATTAAGTCTTAACCCAGGTTTTATGTAAATTAGCCGCTGAGGACATTCAAAATGGAATCAATGACCTTGCAAGTGCAAATACCTGGAAAGAAAGGAGGCGGCTCTTGCGGGGAGACCAACACAGAACGTCCCCGAGAGCACGTGTTCTCGTGACGCACGCTGCCCCGGCCTCCCCTGAAGCAGAGCCCTCTCCCCCCACAGCAAAGGACACTGGAGTCCAGGGATGTATTTCGGGAGCGGCACTGGGTCAGGACGGAACACCGGGGCACCCGCCTGGGCCCAGAGCTGCGTCACTGCGACTGTCCACGGGAGTGCCAGGCCCACACGAGACTCAAACCGCCAGAGCCGGGTGGGCGGGGGCCGCTCCACACCTGCAACGGGACTTGCTCCTCCGGCCAGGGTGCGGCGAGGCTGCAGAGCGTCACACTGACCCAAGCTTCGCGGGCCCTGGAGTCTCCCGGTTCCTATCAGGGCCAGCCCCAGTCCCCTCCATCCTAAGAACCTGGACCAAGGTGCCATCGTTACCCTAAGCCTTCAAAAACTCTGGTCCCGGGATCCAGACCTGAGAACCTGTCTCTACCTTCCCAGCATCTAGCCAGAAACATGAGGGCCCATGATAGAGGGAGGCGAGGGGCCACCCCTAGCCCTTCAAGGACATCCTCCCAATCAGGCGCTCAACCCAGACCCCCCCCCTCCTCGGCAGCCCGCATGGAGGGATCGCCAACTTAAAAGCCACACCTTATAAACAATGCCAACTGTTTAAGGTTACCAGGCACGCCGCCATACATACCGTAAGACCAACACGCAGGCAGCCACCAAAGAGTAGGCCAGGAGGGTGCCGATGGACATGAGGTCCACCAGGTCCTTCAGGTCAAAGAGGAAGGCCATCACAGCTGGGAAGAGAGAGACGTCAGGATGCACACGTGGCCCTCTGCACACGCCCACGGCCAGGCCCACCACCTGCCCGCAGTGCAGGCAGGGCACGTGAAGGGCACAGCTCTTACTCCCACCCCTGGCTGTGCCGTGGAAACGCTGGCTTCCAGCCAAGACAAGTTCATGATTAAGTCACACGCAGTCCTCAGTGGACAGTAAACTACATTTGTTTAGAGAGTACTTCCATTCTTTTTTGATCCTTGTGGCAACTTTGTAACCCCTATCTATACCTCAGATGGAGAAACTGAAGTCCACAGGGGTTAGAAGACTTATCTAAGGTCACACAGCTCCTAAGAGGAGCCAGGATGTGAACTAGGTTCTTATGACTGAGTCCAGTGTGTCTTCCTCTATACCGTGCTGACTCACAGACAGCCAAGTGCATCCATCCATCATCCATCTTCAATCATCCATCCATATATTCATCATTCATCTTCTATCAGTTCCATCCAATCCACCATCCATCTATCTATCCATCCCAACTATCTATCCATCCATCTTCCATCAATCCATCTAATCCATCATCTACCATCCACTCATCCCAGCTATCCATCCATCTTCCATCAATCCCATCCAATCCATCATCCATCATCCATCCATCCATCCCAGCTATCCATCCATCATCCATCTTCCATCCATTCATATAGTCATCATCCATCTTCCATCAATCCCATCCAATCCATCATCTACCACCCACCCACCCATCCATCCATCCATCCATCCATCCCATTCATCCATCCATCTTTCCATCATTATCCATCCCATCCTTCCGTACATCTTCAATCTTTCCATCCGGCACTGACGCAGACTGTGCAGTCACTGGGTCCTAGATAGTAACCATTAAGCAGGGCGGACCACAGTCCCAGGCCTCTCTGAGGACCCTCCCATAACACAGACAACAGAGCTGGGTGGCAGAGAAGGGCAAGTCTGTGCTCTGGGAGGACTCACAGGGGCTCTAACCCAGGCAGGTAAGCAGGGAAAGCAGAGCTGCTCCTCACATGTGAAGTCACTTCACATGGAAGAAATCTGAAGAGTTGTCCCCAGACAATATCAGCCCCTTCACCATGCCCCTGCCTTTAAAAAGAATTAAAACATTCATGCTTATTTGAAAATCCTTCCTAAGTTTTGTGAGAGTATGTGTGTTTATTTATGTGCATGTATATGTCAAGTTTTCCCTTTTAAAAAACAACGGGGCTAGGCCGGGTTTGGGATATTTTCAAATCACATGCAATCAACACAAGTTAAAACATAAACACAAAACCATTATTTTTCCACAAATATCTCTCCAGCCCTTCTAGATCACTGCAACTAAAATATATTTAAATTGAGGATAAATAACAGGATTAAGAGCAAAGGGGACCTCCCGATAATTAGAAGAGTATCCAACTGTGCATGCCACAAATGCCCGCGTTCCTACTCAAGGAAAAACTGGAGACAAATTTCTTCCATGTGAGGTGATTTTAGAAAACCAAATACTTATTTACTGCTCCTGCCAAATGAAAAAAAGAGTCAATCCTTGATTTGATGAATGGCATGACCTTCATAGTCACTTGAAAGATAGTGGTCTGACCTCCTTTATCAGCACAGGAAGCAAAGTAAGGGTCTGCCTTTAACACAATCGAATTGCATGTGAACACTGAAAAAGCATTTACTATTTCGAGTTCCTTAATCCCTTAAATATTCTGGCCACGTAGGGCACCCCTCACCTGGCCACTGCAGTCACTTCAAGAGCTAAAATCACACGGAAAATGTATTACATAATTATAAAACTGCTTTCCTTTAGTATATCATATTAAAGTGAGTGCACTTTGCTAAGGGCATAAATACCAACAAAACCTGGTGAGCGATTCATGCACTCCAGATGGTCGAGTGTCTCACCAGTGGCCACCGTCCGGTTGCTGTGGTACGAAGTGTGACCAGTGGCATGTGCCCTAACTTGCCCAAAAGACCCACCACTCTGCTCAGGCCCTGGGAGGAGCTCAGCCACTTTGGCATGAAAAACAAACCAGGAGCCAAAAGCCAGCCCTACCCTCATGGGTGGGCACCCTCGCTTCCCCGTGGCCTGCTCTGCTCCGTCTACACAGCGGGATGACACCTGCCTCTTGGGCCATAAAATGCAACCGAGAAAGGAGGAAACGCATAAAACAAATCCATGTCAATTGTCCTCTCGGTGATGTACCTGATCGCAGAAGATGACCCTCCTCTGGGTCTGCCACCGTGCATGAACGCGAGCAGACGGCTTTGCCAGCAACACCCTCCATATCCCGGGGGAATAGGGGGCCACACTTTAGAAAACACCGATTGTGAGGCATCCTTGTTTACCAGAGAATTCGTGTGCTAAGATGCACAGACCCCAAGTTTCCGGGTACAAAAAGTCCCCCTTGCTGTGCACTATGCAAGAAGCCGGCTGCCCAGGTGTGCGCAGGGAATCGCTCCGAGAGGGGGAAGGACCAAAGGCCCTGCAGGAACAGTGTGTGCCACACTCTGCCCACGGAGTGGGCAACAGAAAAGTTCAAACTCTTGGAGAATTCCACTTCCTCTGCCAAACTGGCCTCTGCCTTTGGTCAAAAGGACAGGTACCTTTCAACGAACCAGGTTGCAAGACCAGTTAAAAAGACCAGCTAAAATTTCTCATAGACCAGCACGATTCGTGATATCTCCCTAGGGAATAATGATTCAACTGTGAAGACGCTGGCACGTGCAGCGAGCGCCCGCACTCACCAGCGATGGCACCGGAGGTTAACGTGGCGATTATCGGTGTTTTGGTCCTATCGTTGATTTTGGCCAAAAATTTAAACAGCAGTCCATCTTCGGCCATGGCGTAGATAACTCGAGGCATAGGAAACATGGAGCCTAAAAGACTAGATTTGGGGAAAAAGGCAGAACATGTGAGCAAAAGCGGTTCATCGGGGATACAGGCACCACGTGGGACCACGCACAGTTTACCACGGAGGGCAGGGAGCCCGAATTTCTCACCGAGAACTGCAACCCCCCACACTGGGAGGCCCACGGCTAGAAGACCCGGCATGTAACAAATCAACCCCAGAAAAAGCCCACACTGTCAGCATGGACTGCGGTAGAGAATGGGGAACACCTAACGTAAACTGAGATGAGCCCCAGTGGCAGTCTGTATGGAAGGGAAAGTGTGCGTTTCCTCCTGCGACTGTTCTCGCTGAGCCGAACAGAAGACACGAGCATCACTGCATTCCCAGGGGCCTCTCTGGGGTGAACCAACACCAGCAGACAGTCCCCACCGACTGACGCTGGCTGGTGGGAGACACCAGGGCTTCTCATCGCAAGGCACTCACGCCCCTTTCCTAAGCGGCCCCAGCGTGATCGTCAAACTAAGGGCCAAAATACGGGGCTCCAAGAGGGGGCTGGTCCCTCGGCCGACGTCAGGGACACAGGGCCAGAGCCTCACTGAGCGGATGACGCTGAGAAGTCGGCCTTGGTCCTCTGGGATGAAAACGTCAGAAACGCAAACAACTCTCGGGACGATTAACAGCAACAACAAGGGCGAAGGCCACCACTGGGGCTGGGGCGCTGGCTCTGACTGTCTCGAGGCAAGACGGACGTTAGCAGCTGAGCCATGTCCCACGGGGCCTCGCCCGGCCTGCCGGGGGCATCGCTCCCCCCGCCCTGCCGACGCGGGGGAGGCCCTCTCACCTGGTAGAAAGCGCGCAGAGGGAGCCCACGGCCACCGCGTACTTGGCGCCTTCCCAGCCCACGTGCTTGAAGGCGTCGGGCAGGGGGCTGTCCTTGTCCAGGCAGAAGTACGGCATCATGAGCGTGAGGGCGGCCGACACCCCGAAGTAGGCGATGAAGCAGATGAGGAGGGAGGCGACGATGCCCACGGGGATGGCCTTCTGCGGGTTCTTGACCTCCTCGCCTGGGGGCAGCGGGGTGAGCCTGAGCAAGGCGGGCGGCTGGGGCGCGGCCTCCCCGAGTGACACCCAAGGGCTCACGTGCCGGGGAGCTCATGCACGCCACGGGTCACCGCCCCACCGCTCGACCCTACAGGACGGGGTCCTCGGGGCTTCCCGGAACGGGGCTGGCGCTCAGCATCACACACCAGGCAGCCCCCGCCCCCACCCCCGCCCCCCTGGTGTTCTCGGCCTGCACGTCACGGTTTGGCCAAACGAGACGCGTTTCCCTTGGCAGAGGAAACCCGGGAGGCTCAGTGGAGCCCGGCCGGCTCAGTCGACCAGGATGACAATATTTTTAATGGCCTCGTTTCTCCCGGATGATGCACAGATAGAAAATCAGGCTGCAGCTACGCAGCCGTCACCCCATGCTAACGGCAGGACCGTCAGTCACGTTCCTGATGCAGTTTCCTGCCCGGCACTGCCACTTGGGGAGGCGATAAGGGGGGAGGTGTCGGGGATTAGCAGGAAGCTGCAGAAACACACGGCACTCGCATGTGGGGGTGCAGCAGCGGGAAGGGCAGTGCCCAGCCCCGAGCAGTGTCACCCCTGTCTGCAGAAGAGCAAAAGGCCCAGGGGACGGTGGCAGGCGGACGCACCTGTGGTGGCAATGCAGTCAAAGCCCACGAAGGCGTAGAAGCAAGTCGCAGCCCCTGACAGCACGCCGGAGAATCCGAAGGGCATGAATCCGCCAACACCAGGAGCCCCTCCCTTCGTGTTACTAGAAAAAAGAGCAACGGTCAAAACCGCAGACCCGTGCGTAGTCTGGCTCTAGGAGCAGCGTTCGTCTCCTGCAGAGAGGCGATGCCAGGCAGGCGCCACCCCCACCAATGACGGCCGCTCTGCCTGGGGCTCCCTGGGACCTGGGGGTGTTGCCACCTGTCACGGCGTTCCAACTCCATGGGCAGCAGGCCTCTCTGCCCTTCGTGACCCCCAAACCAAAAGGGTGCACAGGGTTGCCCCTTCCAGAAGCACCTTCTGAACAAGGCCTTTGGCAGACAGAGGCAGGGCTGTGGTGGGGGGTCCACTGTGGCCGGCCCCACCCCTCCTCCCCAGGACCCCCAGAGGGAGACACAGAGCCACCCGTCAGGTGCACGGACCTGCCCCTGGTCCCATACTCACCAGTCACTAAGCCTTAAAACAAAACATTTTTGGGAGAAACCCAGGTTAAAAAAGAAGTGTACTCTCTTAGTCATAAGACTTAAGACCCACGTGCACAAGGCAGTCTAGGGGGCTGGGGTTGCGAAGCTTCTGCCTGGTGGGTGGGGACCAGGCCCGGCACGGCCCTGCTACACCTCAGGGCTCGGCACATTATCTGCTAAATTAATGAAGGCAAAGTCAAATAAGCACGGTTTGTAAATGCAGAAGACAGGCTGCCTAAATGTTCAGAAAATCGTCCCCCGTGAATCCGACACCCGTGACTGACGCTGTGCCCAGGCTCAGCTTGGCGCTTGGCCCCTCTCAGGGCACTGAAAGTCCTCCAGGCCCCTCCTCCCTGCCGCATAGAGCCCGGGCTGTCTGTCACCCCCACATGCCGTGTTCTGGGGATGCATGCGTGGTCAGTCCAGGTGGCTTCCCTGGCCACCGTGTCTAGCTCCAAGGCATGCTGCCCTTCCCTGCCTGTCACGAGGAAACCCTGAGCCGTCTGCACCAGCACTCTGCTGCCACCTGAAAGGCAGCTGAACTCCCTCCAGTTAGAGCAGGAGCCCCTGCTCCTCCCCCACCACCCACACCTGTGCCAGCAGCGGGGCTGCAGGCCTCTGTCCTGTCACAGGGCCACTGTGAGCAGTTCCAGACCCATGAGGACGATCACCACCCTCCTCTGTCCCTCCCACTCGACCAGGCTGACAGCCACCTCCCTCCGACTGCACAGGACAACCTGCCCTAAACCACATCGCTTCCCGGAGCGAGAAGAAGAACCACACAGGATATATATAAGTGATGGATGTAGGAAAATGTGTCGCCAAACAAGAGCTTTATTTTGTCATCTTAAAGTGTGACTAAAACTGACAACCCAAGTACAAAAACAAGCGGCCCAAGACAAATAAGTCTGCAAGGCCACAGGACACGGTCTCCCAGTCCCGACGGCCCACTGGCCGGCCTGCTCTCACTGTGGACATAAATCAGCCAAAGAACTTGGAACACGCTGGCAAGCAGACTCCTATTATACTGTGGCCTAAGCTTAAAACAAAACAGGTGACAACCACATGGCTCAGGAGAGGGAGGAGGAGACCACAGGAGGCGGGAACTTGGGAGTCAGAATGTCTCCTGTGGGCCGGGGCCCCATCGCTGTCCAGACGACAGACGCCCACTCGGCTCTATCTTGAGGCGTCAGGAGCTGTTGAAATGGCTGCAAATGCAAATACGTGCAGGCCACCATCGATGGGGCGCTTTAAACAGCCCTGAGGCACAAGCACCCAGGAAGGCTTTGAGAATCCCATTTCCGGGGAGATGGAGAGTGCAGGGACTAGATACCTCACTAAACTCCAGAGACAGACCGACTGGTAGAAGACGCCTAAGGTGTTTCTATTCTCATCCTCGCCAGCATTCGTTGCTTTGGGATTTTTTGATAAAGGCCAGTCTCACTGGGGTTAGGTGGTATCTCGTTGTGGTTTTCATTTGCACAGCTAATGGACAGTGTTATAGAGGGGGAAGGGCATGCTTCAAATCATGGTTTGGGTGTAGCAAAGTCATAACATGTAACCACAATGTTTGTACCGCCATAATATCCTGGGGAAAAAAAAAAAGTGGCCCAAGGGCTGGCACGGGCCTTCCTCGCATAGACAGGCAAAGCACAAATGACCATGAAGGCGGGGACAGAGGGAAGCAAGGGGGTGTGGGTAGCCCCCAGCGGGAGGAGGCAAAAGGAAAGGCTTCACAGTTGGGGAGGAATCGGATACGCCTCCAGGCCATGGGGTGTGAGTGACAGGCGAAGGCGCACGTGAGCAAGGACAGGCCAGTGCCCGCTGACTGAGACACCTGCCCCGCCTGCTCCGCGTGCTGCCACGCGGCACACCAGCACCGTGGGCAGGACCCCGGCGCCGGGATGCTGGGCAACCACAACAACAAACAAGAGCCTGATATTTAAAAACGGCACGCAGAGCATGGTAGTAAGAGAAAAATTCAAGGTGCAGGAGAGAAAGGGAGGAATGAAATATACACGTTTTCATTTGCCTGTGTTTACACGAGACGAGCTGCAGGCTTGCACACACACATACACACACACACACACGCACACACGTAACGGAAAGTTTTACCTGTCTGGGTGAGAGAGGAGGGAGATGAAGAAAGGAATGAGAACAGGATTTCTCAGGACAAAACTTTTTCTAACGTTATGATACATGAACAGACCGTGTGCATATTTTACCTATGCAAAAAATCAAATTCAACCTTTAGGAACAGTTTGGGTGTGACTGATCCCAGTAGCAGGGCACCAACAGAAGCCTTTCTATGGAGGCTCAAACCAAAACATTTAAAGATATTTTTAAATATTTCTCTTTATATATAATCAATGATTAACCTGCCACATGCACACGGTGGCCGTGTCCACTCACCATCCGGCAACTCACACGTGAAGGTGTGGGGCTGCTGCCCACGGCCACTGTGCGGCAACGTCACCTTGCGACAAGGTGAGGAAAATCCAGGTCTCCCTTCAGCGTTGCCTGGCCTGCAGAACGGGTGGCCTGCCTTTCTGCATTCCACCCAGCTGGCCACTCGGAAGTTAGCAAAGACAGTATCTGGGAAAGTTAGGGGGCCGTAAAGGTCCCCCCTGCAGGCCTGTCACCCTGCGAGAGCCGTGAGCGCCCACAGCAGGGCTCCCAGGTCCTGACTCCCACCCGCCGCCCTGACGTAAACTGCTAGCGGTCCTCGAAAGCCACGCTCCCCCGTTCTTCTACGCAGAAATGGGGACCCTTAATTATTTTAGCTGGACACTGGATGGGCACATATATTTACTACCCATCTAAGAATCAAGACAGTTTCTCCAATCCAAGAGCTACAAGGTGTAGCCATTTGACTAAGTGCTGATCAAAGAGATTTGAGCAGATGTGGTGTCTGTACCTGCCAGGAAATGTCTGAGGATCTAGTGGGGGTGCCGTTTATTTGCCCCCTCTCCTTCCTGCTTGCTGGAGCAGGAAGAGCCACCTTGGGGTCCTGGGTGACCTTGGGAATGTGGCCTGTGGACAAAGTCATGAGATGGGAGGACTGGATCTCTGGCCTGGTAAAGTGATACGCTGCACTGACCACCAGAGAGAACCACAGCCTGATCTTGGTGAAGCCAATGCTATTGGGCTTTCCCCACTCATGGACAGACACCTTGCAGCACTTTCTCGACAGGCTTCCCTGTGGGATCAACGCTTTGTGACTGCTGTGTCTACAGAACGCTGGATAGGAAAGCCAGAGGCAGCACAAGTCAAAGGCAGTGAGGAACCAGCCAGCCTGGGGGGGGGGGGGAAAAACCCCTATCGCAGACCAAGACACAGAGTGACCCCAGGCTCCAAGGAGCCCTCCCAGATAGCCACGGCAAGAGCATCCTAAAATCACAAGCCCAGTGTGGTCAAAGCCACACACGCTGCCTCCAAAGCCACACACGCTGAAGCTCCTCCGTGTTACATGGTTTGGTTGGGAAGTGGCCTACTATTTCAGGGAGACAAGCAATTTCACGCAAGACTACATGGCTATTGTCAGAAATACAAATCTACAGCTGGAAGGAAAAAAAGAAAAGAACGACGCTTAGAGATCTTAACAAAATGAAAGAGTAAGAGATCTTAACAAAATGAAAGAGTAAGCTCGACTCCAGTCCTACAGAGCTCCACCTCTTGAAAGTGGCTGATCCCCTACCGTGGGGCTGGGCCTGGCAGCGGGGCCATCAGATATAACTGGGGGGCCCCACCTGTGATCCGGGGGCTGGGGCGACAAATGCCGCTTTGTCTGGGCGGCCGGTACAGTCCATCGTCACCAGGGCGTCTGCGTGAGGATGACTGATCAAAGTAAATACCATCGGCCGGCACAGACAATCTCTTCATAAAAATAATAAAATTAAATCTCGATTGGCAACCAGGACAGGAGAAGTACCCTCTGTCTTTCACTCCTGACCTATAAATAGCAACCGGTAAAACACGCTCTCAAAGTTCTCAAATCATATTTTGAACTGGCTTTACTCCACCCTGAATTAATAGGCACCGATAAATTTGGCCTAAATTATGACTCCGGAATGCTAGGGAATGACACATTAAAAGTCCTCATTTCTCTGTAATCGAGTCTAGGAAAGCAAGGCTGTTTTCATGTGAACTGTTAACCACATAATATTCGTGCTGGTGAAGTTTCATGTATCTAATGCGATAGTTTCCTGTTTACGCTCTAGTAATAGCTCCCAGCCCCATGTCAAGGCTTGGAGGACACGGCCGGGCACCTGGCCCTAAACCAATGACCCTTTGCTGCCAATGCCCCCAGTGTGAGATGGCTCTTCTCAGCCTTCCGCACAGCCAGGTGTGGCCGCCCCTAGAGTCCTGCCTGTGGAACACGGCAGAAGGGCTGTGGGTCTTCCGGGTCTGTCCTTGACAGCCCCGGGCACACTCTCTTCCCCAGGAGAGCTGGCCCTGCTTGTGCCCACAGGACAGCCCTGACGAGGCAGGCGAGGACAATGTCCCAGGGGATCGAGACGGAAGATGTCCAGTCCCCAGACGTCACCTGTGGCAGCTGAGCTGGCAGGCCAGCCAGCCTGGACCACTCATCACAGGACCTAAAACACCACTTCAACGCCCCTGCATTGTATCAGCGTCTCTTTAGCATCCCAGTTTAACTTTCAGCCTGAATGAAAGTAGAATCGCAGATAAAACCCAACCCCCACTCTCCATCCTGGGACCTGCAGAGTCACCTGATTCATTACGACTGTCTGGCTCTGTGTCCTAGGCAGCCTGGGCTCGCCGGAAGGCCCGAGAAGGCACAGGGTGGAGAGCTGGCCACCACTGCCAGCTCTGATGTCCACGTCGGAGACGGGGCCAGCGTTGTCAGGCGGAGGCCGAGCACGTCAAACGGGGGAGGAAGATACTGTTATACTCTTGTCTGGACGCTTCAGGAATTCTGAAAACCTTTGGCCAAAGTCCCGCATATTTCTTCTTCCCTGTGTCACCACTACAATAGGACGGCACTTAAGGTAAAGTGGTGTCAGCATGGCGTCGCGGAGACCATCTTTGCTCTACACAGAACGCAGCCCGCTGGCCACGAAACAGACACGAGGAAAGAGAGACTACCGAGCGAGCCCGACGGCCACGGCCCTGAACTACACGCAATTTGGAATTAGAGCGGCGATTCTGACCTCCTGAATCTTTCTCACTATACAACGTTCTGTCCGAGTCAGGGGAATAAACCCTCGTGGAAACTCCAAACATATAAAATACCCTCAGCTGCAAAAAACAAAACAAAGACATTAACAAAATGTATATACAAACAAAGGTCTCTAAAAAAAAACACACACACCGACCCAGCCAGCGACAGACACACACACACACACATACCGGCAACAAAAACCACCGTGGAGAACGGCCACGCGAGAGGGACGGAAGAAACAACTCACTTGTTCAGACACAGATGGCCGGACGTGTTCCGGAAATCCTCCTCCGTGAGCTGCCAGTTTTTAATTGATCCTTTCACAAATCCTGACACCATGATAAAGCCCAGGACCAGGACGTTGACACAAGTGAATATTTTGTTGACCATGGCTGACTCTTTCACACCGAGAGTTAAAAGTCCTGAAAAAGTGCAGACAGGAAACCTCGTCTGAGTGTCAACCACGCACCGCACCACGGGGACCCCTCCTGGGATGGGGGTGGGAAGAGACAGAGAGAGAACCCAGGAATAGGGAAGAACTCATCGTCTTTCTGGGGGCAGGAACCTAAGCAACCCGAGTCCATACGGGGTAGGGGTATTCGTTTCACAGGCTCTCAGAGCTGGTCTTCCGGATCCCCTTGAGAATTGAGGACGTCACCCAAGGGGCACCCAAGGTCCGCAGAGATCTGGACTATGACATCCAACTCTCAGTGGAAAGCCCCTCGCAGACAGTGCAGAGGGCCTCGACCCGCCCACCACGTGGATCCTTTGCACTAAAATGACTTTGCTGGGAAACGGCCTTCAGAAGCAAATCCACTGAGCTCAAGTTTCTTGGTACAATGAGAGTTTATCAGATGAGGAAATTATTCAGATTGACTTCGGGATGTTAGTAATATATTAGTAACAACAACTAGCTGTGGTTTTGGAACCACTACCACACATGGTTCCTCATTGGGGCTCAGTGCATATAAAATAAAGTCTGAGCTCAACTAGCTCTAGCTTGTAAACTCACATTAAAATGAAAAGTAATAAAAATGCACAGGGACCTCTGACAGCAGATCCCACAGGACCACCTTAGTGTGAAGATGCCCTTTGGGGACTTCCACGGCGGAAACTCTCCGCGGCACAGAGAGGGGCTGACGGCAACACCCGCCCACCACCACCACCTGAGACCACTGTCCTGCCACGGAGGCCTGTCATACATTTTAAAATAAAAACTGCTGTACCTATGAGATTGCATTCGGAAGTGCAAATGTTAGAAGAGAATTGGGTAGTTAATCACGGGGAGAACACCTTGCCATGCGTCCCTCCCTCTCACGTTTATTATTATAAAATAAAATCTTACTAGCGCAAAAAAACATTTTCTGATCTATGTTTCTGCCAGCTGGACCAGAAACACTACCGAGACCAGCCTGGGCGAAGTTATTTCAATTATGTGGTGTGTAAAATAAGGCGTGTCATTTTAAAGACTCATCCAGGATTTTCTAACCCCAAATGTGAATTTATTTGCATTTCAGCTTCATGTTTAGGGAGCCCCATGGGGCGAAACTCCCATCCTGCTGGCCGAGACACGGACTAATGTCACTAACTAGAGGCTGCTGTCAGCAACTGTTCAAGCGGTGTCTGGAATTTTAAAATTCTGTAACCACAATCTTGTCACGAAACTGATTTATTTAAAGGGTGTTTTGGTGGTTGTTAGGTGTAAAACCATCCAAGACGCCGCTAGACGCCCCAGGCGCACATGAATGCTCCAGACAGACCTCATTCCTCCGCATTTTCCTGGCTGACGAATGACCACTTCCCTCGCCAGCTGGTCATCCCGAGTCAAAAGAATTCTCACTCCTGGGTCACTTGTGCAATAAGCCTGCAGCCCTGAGAAAACCTTACTCCACAAACAGTTACGCTGACCTCCTGAGCTTCTCTGTTAATGAAACGGTCCTCAACTCAACAACTACGAGGCCGGCCAGCTCTGTGCGACAACGACGGAGACAGAGCAGAACAAAAAGAAACAGTGAGGAGGGTTTAAAGAGAAAAGGAAGGAAGGAAGGAACTTCACCGGAGGCTGCCATAATCGCTTTGCCCACGGGCCTCTTTTTCAGTGCGCGCTTTACCTGTCAAGATGAGAATTATGATCACGGCGAATATGTCGGGGTTTTCGGCCAGCACCCCCGGGGCATTCAGGGCCATGTGCGTCCGCGAGAACTGCCCGATGGGTCTGCCTATGAGCTCATCGAACGTCGCGCTCCAGGCCCTCGCTACGCTTGAAGTGCCTGCCACAAAACACACACAGCAGAGGGATTCAGGGAAAACAGTTAGCAGATACTTGTCACCAGGCTCTGGCAGCGCCCACTCGGGGGTGATAGACGGCGCGTTGCAATCTCGCAGCAGCAGCCAGACCACAGTGCAACTCGGGGCCAGGACGGAGGGTCAACCGAGGCTGGGAGTGAGAAGCAGGAGGCGGCTTCGGGGGCCTGGAGAGGCATGCACACGTGTGCTGTGTGCACCAAATGCATTTACAGCCAAAGAGAAATTTCACGAAACAGTCACCCTTACCACCTGGTAGGCGCTCGGATAGGATTTATGTAATGCCGCCTATTTTATTTCATTAAAAAAAAAAATGCTGATGACAACTCATGACAATTGATTCCATAATCCACTCCTGGGGTGCATCTGTGGAGTCTGGAGGAACATCGCTTAGGAAGCCCCTTTTCCAGGACCCCCTTGGCCACAGAATTGATGAGACCTGCACCCCAATAACACAATTATCCCAGCAAGAAGAGGGGCCCGAGGAGCTCCTTGACGGGGGTGGCCCCCATCTCAGGGGCAAAGGCAGCTGCTCATCTCAGAGCAGGCTCCAGCCACCTCTGCCACTTTGTGCCTGAGCCTGACGTGGAGGTCATGGTGCCCGCAGAGTGCAGGACCACAGACAAAGCCCAGCCCTCCTCATTCTCCCCAGACCCCAAACTCCCCAGCCTTGAGGAACACAGAGGCAGCACCCAAATGCCAACAGTGGTTTGCTTTTCCCTCTCTCTCTCGTTTAATGTTGTTTTTTTTTAAGACTGTTTGTTGCCCCAGCTGCATCCAGGAACCTGCCTCATAGCTCACTGCAGCCTCCAACTCCTGGGCTCAAACGATCCTCCTGCCCCAGCCTCCCAAGTAGCTGGGACTAGAGATGCATGCCACCACACCCAGCCAATTTTTTCCTATTTAATTCTGAAGAGAGTCACTGTTTTTCCAGTGGTGTTTCTCAGGAAACGTCACTAAAATTCCAGTACTTGCATATAGCATTTTCCTTTATTTTCAAAGCGTGCCTTGTGGGCGACCATGGTCTGAATTATCCACAGAACTCAGCCAGAGTGATCTGCATAGAGATGCAATTTGGTTATTTGGTCTCATGCTGAGTACTTTTCCAACAAATGGAAAATGTAAACACATGTCTCCCTCCTGAGTAGCCAACCTATCATGGATTCTATAAAAATGGTCTCACTGTCTCCCTACGTGCTCCCAAGCCCCGTCCTGCTGGGTGGGAAGGGCTCCCTGGCCTCCTTCCCAGCTGCCTCCCTTCCCCTTTCTGCATCATGCCTTTTAAAAAAATCATTTGCTGAAAAAACTGCCCTTCCCCAGGCTGCGAATAAATTTTCATTACACATGCAAATAGTCCTCCGCAAGCAAACAGCACTCTGGCAAAGCCTCTTTCATTTGTTTGTTGGTCTAGAAGCGGCAAGCGCTTCATGCTCAATGTGTATTTTATGCCCAGGTAAATCCTCTGGAAATATAACGGTCCATTTAAAATAGCTACATTCCCACTGAGAGACTTCAGCTTGTGAGAACCATTCGTGGTTATAAGTTTTGATGCTGAACTGAAAAAAAAAAAAAGATTATGAATTTTATTTTAGAACCCAAAAGAGGAAGCTATGCCGGCGCTGAGCAGGTACTGCAGCTGCTGAAAGAGAGAGAGCAGGTGCTGCCGGGGGGCCTGGAGGGCGGCTCGCTCAGGGCTGGGGAGTCCCGGTGGCAGCTGACGCCCCGGCGGGCCGAGACCTCCATGGGCCCACTTACCACCTCTTACTGGTTTTTGATAATATTGCCAAAAAGCCCGCTTAAAAAATAAAATTGAACTTTGTTTCTGTGAAGTGGCCATTCATATTCTTTGCTGACTCTTACGTTCAGGTGTTTGTTTCTTTTAAATCAATGTGTTCAGCTTCAGCTGCAGTTAAAACCCAAAGGGCGTTAGAGAGGAGAGAAGTAAGTCTGTCTCCAGCGCTGACAAGACCTTTCCTTTCTGGCTCCCTTGTCTGCCGGGTGGCCGTGTGTGCGGCTGATGCCCGCGGCCGGCAGTGAGGGCAGGGCCCCGGGCAGCGTGGGGAGCCACATCGACAAAGGCCTTAAAAATATGCAGCCCCGCTTACGGAGACGTTCTGCTTCTTCACCAGTTTTAAGGAAAAAAAATCATGGCTATGTCTGAAGACAAAAGTGATGAGCTGTTTGTAACAACAAGAACACAACTGGAAACCATCTAAACGTGCCATAAGGACACCTAGTGAATTGTGCTGTGCACATAAATCTATATGATGGTGTGCAACCGTTGGGAAGACTACCCTAGAGTAACAGCCAACAGTACAAGAACTGTTTACTATATACTGCTGTGTGAAGAGACAGACTGTATTAAAATGTGTCATGCATTCCAATTCACAAAAGTAGTAACAATGGGCGTCTCTACTTTCCTCTTTGTATTTTTCCTTATTTCTCAATGTTTTCTCTTTCAGTGAAGTATTTAATCATCAGAAAGAAAAACTACTAAAAGAAACTAAATACTTTTTAACAAATTAGCAACATGCTATCAATGCTATGTCTCTCTCGTTAACAGGAGCGACCTGCTCGAGGCCTGGCTTGGTCCCTGCACAAGGGCACAGGGCAGGGGAGGCCGAGCCGAGACTGTGACGCCCACAGGCTGCATAACCTTCCATGAAAGGGCCACGGCACATGACACGACGACAGGCGAGCCAGGAGGCAGCTCCTGCTGGGGAGCCGGACTCGGGTCACGTGGGGAGGAAGGGGGGGGCCGCACACACGCCGGGGGTGGAAACAGGCAGAAAAGTGGCGGGGGGCGCAGGCCCCAGGCCTCTGGGACCTACCGATGATGTAGGAGAGGATCAGGTTCCAGCCGGTGATGAAGGCCCAGAGCTCCCCGACGGTGACGTAGCTGTAGAGGTAGGCCGAGCCCGTCTTTGGCACGCGGGCGCCAAACTCGCCGTAGCACAGGCCGGCGAGCACCGAGGCCAGCGCGGCGATCAGGAAGGAGATGACGATGGCAGGGCCCGCGTCCTCGCGGGCCACGGCTCCGGCCAGGACGTAGACGCCGGCTCCCAGCGTGCTGCCCACCCCGAGGGCCACGAGGTCGAAGGTGTTCAAGCAGCGGGACAGCCGGCTCTCCTCCCGGCTGCAGTCCACCACCTTCCGCCGCAGCATCTGCTGGCCGATGCCGAGCAGCACTTTGCACCCCATTCTGCTGTTCAGACCTGCCGAGAAAGAACAGAGGCCACGCGTCACTGCTTCTTGCCTCACACGTCACCCTCGTCTCACCCACTGCCGAGACACAGGCAGTGACCAGGTCTTTTACAACCGTTTCCTGCTAAAATGTTTTAATTCTTCGAATTCCACCACCGCTTGTCAGGAGAACACAACTTCTCCAGTCTTGGGTCTCGCCAGCAGGTGCAGAAACGTCCCAGCAGGCCAGGTGCCCAGCGGACTCCACTCAGGTCTCTGATTCCGGTTCCTCTTAACCGAGAACCCTCCGTGGGCAGAAGTGACCCAGTATGGGGAACGCAAATTAGTGACATTGTTTCTACTCTCAGAAATCACACAATTTACCAGGAAAGACAAGGTGCTCTTTCAAGGGTACTGTGTCATGGGAGGCAACCCAAACCATACCGTGATTATTAAAACTCAGAATTGCAATGAGAATGCCTTTTAGATCTTTCTAGGCTCCTCTGAGCATAAGTACCAAGTTGTTTCCACTTTTAAGTTAACAGAGTTAGGTCCAGAGCAGAAAAGTGTTGGGTCATTACAAGTGAGGGCTTTTCCTAACTGCCACTACTCGAGGAAGTGCTTTTCTTCTGGGCTGCAATGCTGGCCCACTGTGCTCCCCACCAGTGCTCCCCGCGAGAGTGCCCCCCGTCTCCACCCACAGGCTGGCTCACGTCATCCCATCATCACACGGAACACACCAGTGAGGGCTGGGGGACGCCTGCGCTGCAGGGAACAGTGAACCCGGGGCAGCTTTGGGGCCACTTTCCTGTGACACACGATCCCACCTGCCAAAGCGGGAGAGCGCCAGGGGTCACCCCTAGTCCGGGGTGACCATCCTCACGAAGGGGGATTTCACTCCCTGCTGCTGTGGGTGGGCTCTGCAGAGACTCCCTCCTGCAGATGACAACCGGGAAGGGCGGGGGACACACGGGAGGCGTGAGGGGGGGGCGGAATCTGCAGTGGAGAAACCCAACACCTGGGCCGGCGATCAAGGCCAACAAGAGTCACAGCCACGTTGACTTTGAGATGTGACGTTGACTTTGAGATGTGACGAGACAGGCGCTTCACCTCTGTGGTCCCCCCAGTCCCAGGGCCCCATTCTAATCACGGGAAAACCATCAGACACAGCCCAGGGGAGGGATGTTCTACAAAGCACCTGACCAGTTCTCTCAACGTCATCAGAAACAAGGAAGGTGTGGGACACCATCAGAGCTGAGAGGGGGCACGAGGACTAAATGTAACGTGGGCTCCTGCCTGGGCTCCTGGGACAGAAAAACAGCATCGGGGGAAACTAAGGAAACCTCAACAAAGTGCAGATGTTAGTTAATAACGCGGCACCAACACCAGCTGTAACCAAGGTAAAATACACGTTGATAACAGGAGAAATGGTGAAAGGTATATGGAAACTCTCTGTAGTATTCTACAATTTTTCTATAAATCTAAAACCATTCTACAACAAAGAGTTTATAAAAAAAAAAATCTAAAACAAAACAACAGCATGTGCAGAGATAAGCTACCATCATGACTTTTGGCTGCTGAGTTACAGGAAAATCACTAGTATTTCCTGTTAATCATCAATCGGTAGTTACTGACCTAAACTTAGCTACAATTAAGTCATTGGAAAAGAAAATACTCTCAATGGAGCTCACAGGTCTAGAAAAGTCTGCGCCTAACCCCGCCTGCCACACTGTGCAGCCGCTGGGTGGGCAAGCGCAGCGGGCGCCCCGCTGGCCCGCAGGGCTCCAGGCTGCGCGGGCAACTGGGAGTGTCCTTCCTGTATTTACCAGACCGGCCAAGAGAAGAGAAACGATCTCAGGACTCATGACACTTTCAGCTAGAATGGGGGGAAAATCATCAGATCCCAGCCCCTGTTATTAACATACAGAGGAGGAAAAATAACTCGGGAGCCAAGTGTCATAAGAGGTCACAGTGCCCTGCAGGTGCAGTCGGCCACTCCTCATCTGGAGTTCTGGCGGCATCATAGGTGGGAAGGAAACGACACCACGGCGCAGCAAGGGGGAGAGGAAATGAGAGGAAATGGGGGGGGGCATTTGTGGGGCGGTAGCGCAGTGGGACAATCAGACTCCAGGGTGTGACAAGACAGGAAAGGCCCGAGATGCACACGAGAGAAGAACGAGCACAGACAGCAGAGCTTCCCGGGCTGCTGCCGGCAATGCGCGGACGGTTTCTGAAAGCTCTGGGCCAGGAGCAGACGTGAGGTGCCGAGGTCCCTCAGCGAGGCAGCCAGGCCCGAGGCCTCCCGCACAGGTGAGAGAAGGCTTCTGGGTGGCACCGAGGTGGCGGTGGAGGGAGAGGAGGAAGAGGAGAAGGAGGAACCAAGGACTTGCTGCTGCTGCCGGGATACCGGGGCCTGCAGAAGGCTCCAGCACGCTCCAGTCAGCCCAGGGGGCGATTTCGCCTGCAACCGCCTTTTTCTTTTCCTCCATACAGGATTTAAGCTGACTTATGTGAGTCAAATTATAAATCACAATAAGGCATTTAGCAAACCCCTATTTGGATAGCAGGTCAAGAAAGGGGAGATGCAACGTTTCAACATAACCCTCAGCAGACAAGGCAGTGCGAGGAGACACCCAAACATGGCTGCAAAGTGACTTCGCAACATCTTTTTGTGGGGAGAGGAGTAATTTAAGCAAACAGGAGCCTCGGAGGGAAACGAGCGTGAGCGCTCCGCGTCGCTAGTACCGTTTCTATGTGGCTGGTAGATGCGCGGAGACAGTCCCCGTCTGTTGCCACCCGTCCCGGATGTAATTTCTGGTTAGTAATAAGTGGATCCTCTCCTCCAAACGCTAAAAGCCAAGTGCAAGCAAAGACAGTGCTACTCAGTAGCATTTCCATCCCCAGGCTCCGCAGAATAAAGTGACCTGAGTGCCCAGAAAGTGAGGAGGCGCCCTGCCTTTCCCCGTCCTGGGCCCGTCCTTTGGGCGGGGACTCCTCTCTCAACAGCACACTGGTGTCCTAGGCAGAGCCAAAGCCACAAGAGTGACCCAACTGGGAGTCTTGACGAGGGGCATGCCAGAGCCCAGACACACTCCCAAGACAGGGTTCTGAGCCTCCTCAGAGCAGAAAGCAAACGTGAACCCAGGGACCCTGAATTAGGACAGATGACGCGCTCAGACAAAGGTGCAAAGCAGGTGTGCACATGTGCACCTATGACATCCCGGGCACGGGTCGGCTCTCACCAGCGGGAAACCCACTCAGAGAACCAAGAGACTTCCGTTAGGAGGACCTCAGCACCAGCTTCAAAGTGAAGGGGGCAGGTTATTAAATGCTATACACTTAGATACAGATACAGTTTTCAAATGCAACGTGCAAAGGGAGCGAATTCTTCGGTGAGACAGTCACGCACGGTGCAGCTCACGTCTCCTGAACAGGTACACAGTGGCTCGTTTTCTTCAGGAACAGTCTTGGCCAGTTCCTTCTCCACCAGAGCCCAGGAGGGAACTGCTCTGTATCTCAGTGAGGGGGATGCAGCAGGGACCTGGACAGATTAGCTTTACCTTGGTTACTTCTTAAGTATTGCTCACTATCCAGGGAAAGGGAGAACTCAATTCCTTTGGAAGACGCTGGAACAAAAATGCAGCCGACTGCTGCTGAGGAGTCCAGAGCCGCTAACCTAAAGAACATAAATGTCTCAGCTTAAGTGTTCATTTCTACTTCCCAAGGTAGGAGAAAATCAGATACTTACGATGCCCTGGGTTTACTTGAAGAAGTAACCTTTCTGTCTCTGTGGAAATAATGCAAAAACCTGTTCTCCAAGTGGTATCTTCTTATCAGCATTTCGTACACATTGTACCAGCACTTACACTCATGCTAGGACTCCAAAGCTGGTTGTTCAGCCAACGGGGAAGCTAAAGGAAGCTTTTCTGCACAAAATTAATCATTCCAATCCCAACAATGTCAGGTGGACATGGACTCCCCGCCACTGGGGTTTACACAGAACATTGCCAGAATGCTGTGAAAGCATTATCTGGAGATTAGGTTACCTTCCTTGTGGGGAGAAATCTGTGCAATGGTTGCCACCTATTTTCATTCGGGGTTTGACAAGAATCCCGCAACACCAAGGGTCTCAGATCTATCTTGCTATCCAGTCGTTCATTATCAAAGAACACTTACCTTGGGTGGTATCCTCTTAGAAAAGCAAAGAAAATCTGTCCCTTTCCCACGGAAATTCTAACTCCATGTTCTATTCTAGTAATCGCTATATAAAAATGGGAGTAAAATGACCCAGTGGACCAGAATTACAGAGACAAAGACTTTCTTATGCTCTGTTTTAAAGATTTCTGATAAAGGGGGGGTGGATGTGAATGGCATGACTTTTGCGCTCTCAAATTTAACCTGTCACTCCATCACTGAGAAAATCCAGCTTGATGGCTTGAGGAAGGGCAGGCAGGGGTCAAAAGCAGGCTGTTATACTACATTCAGAAATGCCACCCTTTAAAGAAAATCTTAATGCCGAAATATTTACTAAGTCCATGCTTCAGCTTTTCTTGTCAGTGGTTTTCAGAAGGGCCAAGGCCCCAGATGACATGAACTCAGCAGGCACCTCGTGGGTACCATTTGGAATGAAACCTCCCATCCCACCAAGAGAAAGACTGCGGTGGACATCGGCACCACTCGGAACAATCTCCATCTTTGCCAGGCTGGCAGCATCAGGGAACAGCGCCAAGTGGTGGGCACGGTCAACGAGGCCGTTTCAGCTTCCCTAAAGCAAGAGTGTCTGGCCAACCTCAGGGCTGGCGTGTGGGCGGCCACCCCAGCGGTACCTGGAGGGCTCCAGCAAGAAGGTCCAAGCCACATGAGGTAGGAGAGACAGAGTCTCCCAACTCAGTGATCTGCAACCAGAGGTGGGAACAGGGGTCCAAGGAAAGAACATTCTAGGATGCTGGCCCTTGTGTGAGAGGCAATGGAGACTCAACGACAAGGGAAAAACCCGCGTTGAAGGAAGTGATCTCAAAGCAGGATCCACTTC